ACAACAACAAACACAACTTTCAGCCGGCAGCAAAACAAGCCACAGATACTTAGCCACAGTTTTGCAGAGATGCCTTTCTTTTTAGCCTCCTTTTTTAGAGATACTCAACGCATGTGTGTATAGATGATGGCATATTAGTTCATATTCAAAGTTCTAAGAAACTAAATTCAAATGCAGCTCAGCTGAATTTCCATAGATCGATAGGCCTAACTCATAATTTTAATTAATTTTCAGTTCTAGTTCTTATCTGTTAGCGAACCAACACAAAGGGTAAAAATGTTAGCTAATAAACTATTTAAGCTACAGGGCATCTGCTAGGCGAGCAGACTCTTCGAACAGTTTTTTGTTTCTTTCTTTTTTTGTGTGCTGCGCATTTGGTGCTTACCTTTTGGCTTGGCAGTCAAAGCTTGGCCGCAATTTGTGTGCTGCGTTTTTCAACTTTGTTGCGGCTGCATTTTCGCAATTTTTCTAGCTCATTTGCCCAGACGCCAAATGTCCTTCAGCATACAGACGTAGACTAACTCTTGGAGTCCCAGTTGCCGTCTCCAATGTGCGGCTTCAGTTATCTTTAGTTGTTGCTGCTGCTGCCACTTTGGCAAATTAAAGTGCGCGCAAAGCCCAAAGCGCAAAACCCGTTTGCTGGCCAAGCCGACGCAAGGCGCACGTGCAACATGGCAACGGGCAACTTCCAACTCGCAACAAGCAAGCAGCAACTGGCTGCAAGGCTGCATCTCAAGCTCATGCCAGGCCAATTTGGCAATGCATGAAAAACAATCCAAAGATTTTTCTCTTATTTTTAAATTTTTTTTTTTTGGTTTTGGTACTCATTTCATTTGGTGCCGCTTGGTGGCATAATTCGCGCAGCAGCCGACGCCCAAAAAAAAAAAAAAACGCCCCAGACCAGCGCAGAGGACACATCGGACTAGTCAAAGGCACTCGCAGCTGGGGGTTCGCGGCTAGGAGGAGGAGGAGGGAGCTCAGCTGTGCTGTCGATTTACGAGCTGTGATATTTCGTGCATGGCCTGCCAAATTGTATGCGGATTTGTATTAGTATTTGGGTTTGTTGTTGCTATACCACACACAAGACTTGGCTTCGAGCCAGCTGTGCGCCATCGATAGCCAGCTGATAGCCCAAGCCACTTACCTAATCTCCATTGGTGTTACACAAGGAATTCCTTAATGTTCTGTGGAAACTAGAATACTTCCGTAAGAGACCTTCCAATACTCTGAAAATAATCATTCAATAAGTGTAAAGCATATTAGCAAATTTCTAACCAATATCTGTACAAAATTTGAATCATGTCCAAGCACAAAGCACCTAATATACTGTCATGTTATTCAAGCAATGAAAACTAAATATTTTCCCAAAAAAGCAGAATCATTCAATTACTAAGTAAAATCGAACTTATTAGATGACTTCCATAGGATACTTTTTTAATTTTTTTTACCGAATAAACTTTTTTTCTAATAACTTACGAATTCCTAATCCTTATCAACATCGATCCACCATACCACATTCGACTCGTCGCCTGTGTGGTTAGTCTAAAAGCATGTCACTATCTCTTCGTCCGGCCTTCGCAGTCAACTGATAGTTCTAACTTAATATTATGCAAGCTCTGATTGTCACTTGTTAATGGATTCGTTGCAGTTGCAAGTTGAAACTTGCAGCACTTTCCTCCGTTGCCTCTTGCCTTCCGTAGTCAAAAGGGCACCGCAAATGGTCTATTTGCCATTTTCCACTCCCGTTTAGAGTGCCTCAATTGATGGTTGGTAAAAAAATATAAAAAGTTCTTGGAACTGTTATTCGCTGGCGATTGATTTAATGCGGAACGGGAGCGGGAATGGGAATGGAAATAGGAATAGGAATAGGAATGAGAATGGGTATGGGTATGGGACTGAGAACGGGATTGCAGATTGGCCACGGTCACCAATGGGGCGGACAAGCTGCTGGCTTCCTCGCTGTGAGCTCTGAGCTGAGAGTTGATAGCTGAGCACGTTCCGTTGCTGTAGCCGTTGTCAAATATGGCTGCGGTCAGTTTTCTAACTGCATCGACCAGCGACAACAACAACAATAACAACAACAACAACAACAACATCAAGAGCAAGAGCTAGAAAAACTTTGGCTTGGCAGCTGCCTCCGCTGTGAAGCGGGCATAAATTTCGCATCCCAAGTTGCTTTTACCTTTTGCGGCCACCCTTTTTACATTTACCGTTATGTTCTGTGCTACAAATTTGCGCTACGCGAATTTGTTTGAACATTTTCTTTCATTTCTATTTTTTGGCTAAGCTGTTTTCAGCCTTTTCCATTTCGCATTTCGTATCTCCCTGAGATTCTCCAATGGTGAAACAGGCCAAGTGGCGCACAGATTCAAATTGTGGCAACTGCGTGAATTGGGACTCGACTAAACCGAAAGGAATGTTCGAAGAAAGAGGTAACAGCTTCGGTAGCAGCTGGCACAGTCAGCTACCCATTCGTTTAGGCCACGTTAGCCGGCTAGATAGCTAGCTGACTGGCTGCCTGACTGGGTTGTTAAACTGGCAAGCGTACAATAAAATGGCAGCCAGGTGGGTTTTATCAGCGGTGCCAACAACAGTATGGACCTCACATGCCGAATGCCACATGCCACATGGTCTATCCCATATGTGTCTATTAGCAATTGTATACCCTGCACCCACAATCAAAATAGGAGTTGATCAAGCTTGATCCAGAGAGAGCCGTGCTTCATATATAACTGATCAAGTTGAAGAGCTAGTCAGATCAATAAGTTCGTTTGTCATCTTAAATGTTTGCAACATCAATTGCCACTCGAATAGATTATACATTGAAGATAGAGGGTATTTTTTAGTCTCTATTGAAATACTTTGTTTTCTCAATTATTTCTGAATTTTATTGTAGTTATATACGAGTGTTTTGGATTTTTTTTCACACCTGAAAACTGCAGAATTGAATGTTCACTATTTGTGCATTGCCTTCATGCCGTTGCCCCTGCCACGCTGCCTACCTGCCCCTCAATTGACGGCTCCCACGGGCGCCTTAACAACGCCGACGGGTAATTGCTGTTCAATGCGACACACGCGACGTATACGCAATCTTTAAGAGTTTTTTTCTAGCTGCTTTTCGTTATAATAACTGTCGGCAATGCGATGTCGTCTTTAATTTCATAATGAGCGACAGTCGATGGCCAAGTTGATGGACTGTGTGTGAGAGAGACTGGCAACAACTGTGACTGCAACTGCCATTGCAACGAGCTGTCATCCGACACCTCAAGGGAGGCCGCCAATTGATGGGGGCGGGGCTGCGAAGGGGCGGCAGCTTAAGGGCAACTCAGCTCGGTTTGATTTGCCATCGATGGCACATAATTGCTGCCTGCTGGTGACACGTTGTTGCAATCGCTTTTTGTTGAATGCAGCACCTCGTCCGCACCGCTCGCGCTTGTTCGTTTCCTGGGGCGCTTTTTATGAGCAGCGCGTTGCCTATTTGGGTCAGCGCCTGCAGTGTGCAGCGTGTTGAAGTGCAACCAGACGGAAGTTTAGTTTGTTTACAGGCGCGTCTGTTTGTGGCATCCACGAGGCGAAAGGCTGCCAGCGCCAGCGGCTAACGAACTTCTGGTCTAGTTGTGGTGCATCGGACAAATGCTTTTGTGGTTAGCCTAATCAGAGCAAATCTCGAGTTGATCACAAATGGATTGATTAACTCAGCAGAGGCATGCTCTGGGCTATGCTAGATCGGCTAATACGCAGCTTAAAGAACATTCTTGTATTTATTTTCTTTAATTCCATTCCAAAGGCTCTGCCGGCATTCCTTCATGTTTTCATTTGCACATTTCAAGAGTCTAATCAAAATAAAAAAGAAGAAAAAAATGTTTAATTTTCTGCTTGCTCGACTGCTGCGAAGGGTGGTTAGTTTTCACGTTGGGGTCGCAAATGAGCTGGGGCGTAATTGAGAGGGTGAGCGAAAGGAAGGCGGGTGAAAAGTTGGTAAATGGTTTTTCACGGTTGGCCATAATTAATTTAATGTCTAATGCTTGCCTGTGCACGGCAAGTAAATGGAAAAGTTTGCTCAAGAAATCAACGCTGGCTGCGTTGACAACGGGCTGGGTGGCGGGCGGGTCAGCCACACGTCTGACATAAATAGCAGAACGTAGAACGCAGAACGCAGAACTTTAGAAAGTCAAGTGGTCAGAACCAATGTGGCAAGTGGCAAGTGCCAACTGGATAGTGGCAACAACTGTCGATCGATGTGTATTGGCGATCGTCTTTGACGTCGCGCTGCGCACGTTTGCCATCAAATCGATTAGCGCGAGTCATGAGCAGTTGTGGACGAGCAATCGTGCAATCGCTTTGGACATGCTGAGCCGTGTCTTGACTCTGCGCTGCAGTTCTTCTATATACCCTGTACTCCCTGTTGCATAAGGCAACTCAGACAACTCAGACTCTGGAACCAATTTCAACAGCTTAGTTTAACAATGTGACTTTCTCAATCGTTTATTGACCCTAAAATAATATATATTAATATAGATTCGCGTGAACAATCTATTGATCTGTTTCAACACATGAGCTGCTCAATATGTAGGTTGGTCTTTGTATAAATACGAATCGTAGCTATACCAAACAACGATACGACATATTACAAATAATTCTATTCATATATATTACATAAAAATGTAAATAGTTTCAGATTAAAATATCACGTAGTGCAAAGACTTGTCAATAGAATTTTGGTCGAGGTAGATCATAGTCGATCAGGCGCATTCGTTGCGTCGTGTGTGCCGTTTCATTGTTCTACATTGACCATTGGCCAATGACTTTGACATAGAAACAGGCCACAAAGCTAACATGGAAAGTCGCAGCGGCCTTTCACTGGGCAGCAGTTAAGGCTAAAGGTATTTCCATTCACAGCTCAAAGTGAACTTCCCTCACCCTGTCGCAGCTTAAGCACATGCCACTGCACCCACGCCAACACAAGGGGGTGTAGAGCAGTGTATGTGGTTGCCCAGCCCTGGCGCAAGTTGTGACCATCCCTTGGAGCTGCTCTCGGCGTTTTGCTTCTGGTTTCTTGTTTTCCCTATTTTGCTTTTACGTCTTTACGCCTTTTATTTATTTTCTGTTTGTTTGCTTGAAATGCAGCCCTTCCCCTCGCCCACTGCCTCACCTCTCTGTCCGTGCCTCCCTCTCTCTCTCGCTTGCGCTCTGCTGCTATGTTATGAATATGAAAAATGCTGAAAGCATTTCAACGGTACTTTAACCCCACGACAGCAGAAGCAACTCCACAACAACAAGCAGAGCGACAAGAACGACGCATATCTTGAAATTTATTCACATCCCTTTGCCCCCGGTCTTCTTTCTGCCCCTTCACCGCTCTTCTGTTGCCTTGACTCCAGCCAAATGGGCAGCTTTTGTCGCCTGTTTATTGTCGTCTGCTTCATCTTGCTGTTGTTGTTATACTATTATTGCTGTTGTAGCAGACGAAGGCCTAGACAAATTTGTAACGTACTTTCCGGCGGTTCCAGTTCCAGTTACAGCTCCAGTCTTAGTTCCAGCTCCAGCTCCTGCTACTGTTCGCATTTCAGATTTGTCATGAGGCGCAGTCAACAATCATAACCGTTATGTATATGCTGTGTGTGTTTTTGTTGATGTGGTTGTAGCGGCAGCAATCTTTATGTGCTGTGTAAATATTGATTTTATTTCTTTTTCTTTTTTCGGCTTGTCTAATGTTAGAAAACAAGCTAGAAATTTGTTTAGGTTTCACCTTTGAAGCTAGAATACATATAGCATTTGAAGGGAGAGCGTCGAGGCATGGGAAACCCTAGCGAGAACTTATAGAGGGAACTTTTAAAGTTGCAGGTAGTTTGAATTACATTTAAAATAAAGGAAAAACTTCGTTAACTGAGATTTATTTACTATTACATAATATGCCATGCATGGGAAAAGGCATAGTATAATCCATTATGTGATATTATATATATCGTGATAGATAAGTAGTTCAGACTATATAACTATGCAAATACTGTCATAATACTTGGTCTTAAATTAATTAAACTATATATAAAATAGCTCTGATAGTAGCATAGAAATGTGTGCGATTAACATATTACGATAAAGTCTTATCAACTATTGTTACTAAAGTAAACTTGCAATCTGCAAGGGTATTCAATATTCGGCACTTTAACTGTCCATCTTGCTTATCCGCTTAAAAGCTTTTGTGTGAACAGTTGAAACGGTAGTCGATGTCATTGTCAGGCATCAACAGTTAATCTCTGAAAGGTCTGCCAATCTAGCACCCGCTCTTCAGTGCTGCCTTTCTCCATTATAGCTCTGCCTCTTCCTTTCTCTCTCTCACTGCTGGGTGACATTCTCTTCTCTTCTTTATTGCAATGCTTGTCACATTGAATTGCATTCACAGCGCGTGGCTCATGGCTCTTGGCTCGTGGCTGATGGCTGATGGCTGATGGCTAGGTGAATGCCATGTTGTCCGCATCCTTTGGTAACTACTTGCTGCACTTTTAGTTTACCTTTCGACGGCTGCTGTCAATGTCCTTTGGCCCGGGAACACGGACAGCGAGGACAGCGGGACAGACAAGGAGGCAGATAGAAGCGAAACTTCTCTGCTGCCGCAGCGAGACAGGCGTGATGAGTAGATGTTTGTCTGAATGCAGTCGAGTGCAAAAATATGAATGGCGAATGGGCGGCTGGCACGCCCACAGCTCTGGGCATGAAGTAAATTGCATGCGTACACTCAAAGAACATGAGTGTAACTTCTGCTGTGATCAGTGTCGAATTCTGTACTTGGCTAAGAGTCGCTCTTGAAGACTTCAAATAAAACTACTTCGCTTATGTAGAGGGTTCTCAAAGAAACTGCAATTAATATCACAGGAAGTTTACCTTAAAGTTCCTTAAATTTAAAATTTGGAAAAACTGTATTAAGATGTCTGAATTAAATTGATATATGCATTAGCTAGTATTTTTCTTCAAGTGTACGTATGTGTACACATTCAAGTGGAAGAGGAGTTCAATGCACCATAGGCTCTACTGATAAATGTTTAGTCAGCGCCTCTGCAGAGCGGCCTCCAATTTACTAGTCAAAGCGTCTTGCAACACTTTCTTCTGGCAATCAGAAGACGACGTAGATGCTCGGCCGTGCTGCTGTAGGTGGCATGACAAGCTGCATGCCGTATGCCGCATGTTGCAACACGAAACTAGTTTTTTATGATAAGCAAAAAAGACAGGCACAGCGAGCCCGGCCAGAGCAGAGTACAGCCCAGAACTGACTGCCCTGCCCCTTGAACAACAAGGAGCGACAGGGCCAGGCCCATCCTTACAGCAGCAGCTAGGCGGCTGCTTTGCTTGTAAAGCGTATGTTGCTGTTGTTGTTGCTGTTGTTGTTGCTGTTGTTGTTGCTGTTGCTGTGGCTGTTGCATTGTATTGTGTGTTGTCTAGTGTTCTGCTTGGCTTTAAGGCGGCTGCTGCTTGTCTCCTGCAGGCGGGAGCGCGTCATTGACCTCCAGCTGGAGCCTGATGATGCAAACGTTACAAATGCAACATCAACAGTGCAAACTGTAGCTGTAGCTGTTGATGCTACCCAAAATGCAATCAAGCTGAAAGAAATGTCAGGAGTCGCGAGGCCAATGTACGCATAAATTAAAATCAACCAAATTCGCTCGCCCTGCACGAGCCCAATGTCGAGTGTCAACTGAATGCCACGCCCACGCCTCACAGCCTCCACCGCAAGCCCAATTGAACTTGGCCAAAATGCTGGTCAAGAATGCGCTCAGCTAACAGGCAACAGACAACGGCCAAACAAGCAAAGAAACAGCCAAACAAAACTCAATTAAAGTCAAAGCGCCGAAACCGAAAACGAAACCAGTTTTTATGGCGCGACAGACACAACTGAACATGGAGGACCAGAGCAGGCCAGGCCACAGCACGAGAGGATGCTGTTGAGGCTGGATTGAGTTAGAGATGAGAGTGTAAAGACTTGTCTTGGAATACACAGAAAACCTATTTGAAAGAAGAGACTTTGTTGCCACTCAACTTTTTGAGTTCCATTCCATTACCTATCCCTTAGAATACCGATTTATATATTATAACTATAAGATATGGTTAAATACAACAAAAATACCTTTGGCATTTAATTGACAAATGGTTAGCATAGATATAGCATATATATACCATATTTGCCACATTCAATTTGATGATTGTAGCATCAAAACTTGACGATGAAGTCGTGTCACGAGCAAAGCCACAAGCTCCTCTTTAGCTCTGATCGTATACTCTGTGACTGTGACTCTGGCTGTTCCTGCGCATTGTTTGGCCACAGATCTTACTCTAATTCAAAGTGCCTCCAATGCCCCCTAACTTCTTGTTGCTCGGCTCGTTGCTGTCTTTGCTTTGCGGTTAACCACAGGCATCTTTGCCAACGAGCAAAATTTATAAGATGATGTTCCTGGCATGTGCTCCCCCCGACTTGCGTTCAGTTCTTCTGTTCGGTTCTGTGTATTGTTCAGATTACATAAATTGATGTTGATGCCGGTTGGGCTGCAACTTGAGACGTTGCAGCGGACGCAAAATATTGCAGAGCGAAGCGTTAAATGCGCCCTCGGCTGTGCCTTTGCCAATGCCAATGCCAATGCCAGTGCCAGCGCCAGTGCTAGCCAATGACAGTAGGCCATCAAAAGGCTTTTGCTGCACAGAATTATGATAATCAGTGTGAAGAGAGTCTACTATATAATTAGATAATGCCCGGCTGCCATCAAAGCCATTAAAGATCGCATCATAAATTATTAATTTTCAACATTTTCTACTATTCAATATTTCAACAGACCTTAATTGACCTTCGCGGCTCTAAGCCAGTTGTTTAGCGCTTGCCCAACAAAATTATTTTAATTTATTGACAGCTTCAACTGAATATTTTCTACTATTATTAAGAAATTTGCACAAGTGCACTGTGCGCGGAAGGTCGCAATTAAATTCCTTTAGTAGCGGAACTTGATAAACAAATATTATGTTAGCAAATACGAGCAAATGTAGGAAAAGGCTGAGAGAGATCAGATAACAGCAGCTCTTTGTGGTTTATTTATAGAAATGTGGAAAAAAGTTCAAGATATATACTCCAAACTGGTTTTACGCTAAGTTGCTTAAGTGAAGCTTATTAAAATTAATATAAATATGTATTATAAAATGTTCGAGATAGGAGACATACAGGGTCAAAAGGCAAAGGAAAAGATATTTATGTTGCAAGAAAGTGTTATTCGAAATGAAATAAATTTAAGAAAATGAAAATATTTTTCAAATATTTATAACAAGTTCACATTATATCAAATATTATGCAAACGTATTTTGGGTATTTATATACCCTTTAGCTATCACTATCAATAGTTGCAACGCTGTTCTGCTGCAAACCTTTGCGATGGGTACATACGTTTCTTTCCCACTGTGCTGGAGACATCTTTTCCGTTATAATTTTGGTTAATTCCGCTCGTTTGTTCACTCTGTGCTTTGTGTAACTCGATACCCTATCTTTGCAGTGGGAGTTTGTACAGTAAACTAAGTGAAACTGAAGTTAGTTGGCCGTTGCAGTGGCTGTCAAACTGTGGCGGCAACTGCCAAAAAGCCGAAATACAGAAACTAAGACAAAGCGCAAATGCTGACACTAATGAGACCATAAATGTAAAGCCTGCCACAAGACACAGGCCATGGCGCGAGACGGCAAATGCAACAGCGACTCTAATTGCTGCAATAGAATGAGATTACGAGCAACTGCAGCGGCAACAACAACTGCAACTGCAACTGCAACAGATGGCCGCCAATTGTGGCGACCCAATTGCAAGCGACTTGGCCAACTGACTGGCTATTTACTTTTTGCAGGCAGTGCGCTTGTATTTCTGTATTCTGTTTATGTTTGCCTGCTGACCGGACTGTCTGTACGTACGTCCGTCTCTCCATCTAACTGTCTGTTTTTGCAAACAATTGCAACAGCCTCGACAACAACTACTGTTTGACAATTTATCAATGAATGCCTCTAGTTGTTGTTGTTGTTGTTGTTGTTGCTGCTGCCGTTGCCATTGTGCGTTGCCTTTTCTTATTGGAACAGGAAGTCGCTTATTTGCTGCAAGTGCGCATCGCATTGACATTTACTCTTGAGAAGAAAAAAATAAAAAAACGCTGAGGAAAATCTAGGCGCGTATACCCCAGCATGGGGTATTTGAATTGTCACAAAGTTTGTAACGTAAACAGAGTACAATCAAGGGTATTCAATCTTCGTTGTTTGTCTGTTCTGCTAAAGAAAAAGTTTTCGTTTTTTTGGTAATTTGCATTGATTTATGGTCGTTCACTGAAACACCAAATACGTCGAAGGCGAAATAAAAATAAAGAAAGATGTGGCATACAGCATCATGTGCCCCAATTTCGTTGCAGGCAAATGGAATTTACGAGCTGCAACTGCGCTACAAAATAAGCAGAAATTCTAAATTACTTTTTAGCCCCGCACTGTGTAGGCCAGTGCCAGGGCCAGGGACAGGGTTAGGGCCAGGGCCAGATTGGATTGGGTTGGAGAATCGAAATCAAAACTCATAAAAATGCAATTTGCGCCAACAAGTTGACTTTAAGCAGGCCCAGAAAGCGAGCCTCCCCCTGGCCGAACACACATAATCCACATAGCAAGCCCGATTCTTTGGCCCAGGGGCGGCGAGACGTGTCTGCAATTTGCATCTGTGCATGTTACGGGGTAGCCAAAAGCGAGCTTAAACGGAAGAAGAAGCAGCAGCGAGAGCAAGGGACGCCATAAAAACCATTTGGCGCACGAAAGTTAACGTGTGAGGAGTAGGGGTAGATGAGGGCGCCCGGCCTTTGGGGGCGTTGTAGTTTGTGTGGTGGAAATTTATGTTTAAGCCGCGAGGGCGAGGGTGGCAGCAGAGCTGCATATTTCCGATTTGTAGCTCCATAACAACAGCTGAAAGCCGGAAATAACTCTTACGGCTGCCGAGTTACGTGTTGAGGCTAGTTAAGGTCAACACTTTAGCCCGAAGCAGAAATAGAAATATAAAACAGTTTTCGCCGTAGTATACAGATAATAAGTTATATTTCAAATTCTCCTCTATACTCTTACCTATATCGCTCTAGAGAAGATTGACTATAAGTAATATATATATTATAATTTTGTTTCCATATCGGCAAGAGACGGGACACCTTTTTCTCTGCAAGAGATCCTTTTTCTCCATTCCTTAAATATCTCGAAACATTAAAAACTTTTCTATTTTCATATTAATGCCTTTTTTAAAAGCATTTAGAATAATACTTATATGACACTCTCTAATACCGGGTGTGGCTTATTTAATGGCCACATTTGTCACATTGGGAATTATGAGTACCGCGTAAGGGTATCAGATCCCCAAATTCTAATCCGAGCCCAATTCTCGGCACACATGTGTGCACATAACACGCACTTTGCATAATTAATGCACTGGCAATGTCACCAGTTATACACTTGAGACTTCAGGGCGCATACATATTTACATATGTATATCCAGGAGGAGTGGCAGGGGAGGAGAAGGAGCTTCCCTCGGATGCATGCGGAAATGTTACGGAAGTTGGCTCTGTTGCTTGTTAGTGCCAGAGCATTTTTTTGTATAATTAAAAGAAGAAATTGCCACTTAAACTCAACGGTAGACAAGGAAGAACATTGCAGGCGGGTATAAGCGACTGCGCAGTTCTCTGCAATATAAAAACGAACTGAAAAGGCAACTACAATGATATGGGAATATATCCATCATATTCTGGAAGGTCTTTAATATCGTATTATACATTCTTAGTGCTAATATACCATTTATCGCAATATACAGTGTATTTTTATAAATGCATTGCCAATCGCTAGATGGCGCCGTTGTCACGCGCTCATTAGCGAACGCATTGTGAATCACCCGCATCTGGAGCACCCAACGCAAGCAGGAAGTCTTTTTGTGTATGCGTGGGTGTGTGTGAGAGGCTGTGCGTGTGAAAATGAACAACTTGAGCACGTGAATGGCACACCTGATGGATGAGGCAGAACTCGGCACTCACTGCTGTCAGAGTCACGAAGCATAACTCACCTTTTATCCCTTCTCTTGTTGCAGGAGCTGAAAGAGAGCTTTAACTATGGCCTCTTTGCACCACCCTCGAATGGAAAGGCGGGCAAATTTCTAGATGAGGAGCGTCGCCTGGGCGACTATCCTTTCAATGGACCCGTTGGCTATCTTGAGGTAAGCTGCATCTATCATATATATAACGCACATAACTGACCCCATCTCTTCTCCTTTTCTGCTGTCTGCTGCTGTAGCTGAAGTACAAGCGTCGCGTGTATAAAATGCTTACACTGGATGAGCGTCAGCTGAAGGCGCTACACACACGCGCCAACCTGCGTCGCTTCTTGGACTGCATCAATGGCGGACATGTGGAGAAGATAGCCAAGATGTGTGCCAAGGGCCTGGACCCGAACTTCCATTGCTCAGAAAGCGGCGAGACGCCCCTCTCGGTGGCCACCGGTGCCAAGAAGCCCAACAAGCTGCTTATTGCATTGGTCAATGGCGGTGCTCTGCTGGACTATCGCACCAAGGATGGCACCACAGCGCTCCATCGAGCTGTCGAACATGATTCGCTCGAGGCGGTCAGGTGAGGCGCTCAAAGAGTTCCCAGATTCACATCAGAAACGATTTTAATTTGGATCGAAATATCTTTTATTTAATACTAATCCATGTTCAATACTTGCAGCACGCTTTTGGAACTTGGCGCCTCGCCCAATTATCGTGACGGGCGTGGCATAACGCCCCTTTATATTTCAATAACGCGCAAATGCGAGGCGAAGATTACGGAGAGCCTCTTGCATGATCACGCTACGCTGGGCATACAGGACAGCCAGGGCTGGAACGAGGTGCATCAGGTAAGTCGGTGACGGGTCCAAATAGCTGCTAACCTCTTCTATATACGATTGAACTTACTTTTGGTTCTTGTGAATGACCCCGCTGCCTATCCAAAATTGTGAGATACTTTGGTGCGAAGGTGCTGGGAAAGTTAAAAAACGTATTTGCTAATTGATTTTTACTTCTCTTCTGTCTAACTTTAAACGCTTGCCCTAACTATTGTTAAACTGTGAGTAGGCCTGTCGGCACGGCCTGGTGCAGCACTTGGAACACTTGTTGTTCTACGGTGCTGACATGGATGGACGCAATGCGTCCGGTAACAGCCCGTTGCATGTTTGCGCTGTTAACAACCAAGAGGCTTGTGCTAGAATGCTTCTCTTTCGCGGCGCACAACGCGGTGCCCAGAACTTTGCCAACCAAACTCCCTATCAGGTATTTAAAACAAAACGACTCAAAATTCAACAACTTAAAACATTTTTAGGCTACAAACAACACACGTAATATACTCATAATGTACTCGTAGTTTTTGCTGGAACTTCCTCACGTAGATTTGCTTGTAGTCCTAACGAACGAACTTAATGCCTACTTGAGCTTTTTGTTTTCTTTTTCGGCTAATAAAACTCTACTCCATAGGTGGCGGTCATCGCTGGCAACTTGGAATTAGCCGAAATCATTGAGAACTACAAATCGGAGGATATTGGTGAGTGCAGAAAGCCTATCACAGTCATACAACGATTCATTCGCACTCACACGCCGTAGGAGACGTTGGTCAATCAATCTCTGAATCTGCAATTATGCTCTTAATCAAATACTTGCATAATTGACAGGTTGACTGAGTGATTGATGTAACGGTTCCGATACGCATCGACCAATCCCATTTGACTCGTACTCGACATTGACATTGCCATATCGTACCTCTTACTCACCTTTCGTCCCGTTTCACCCTCAGTTGATCCCATTTTTGTCACAATTTGGTTAAAATTTTTTTGATTTTCTCAACTTAATCCTCTACTCAATCTACAGCTAGATCGATTCCAGTCAGTGTTTAGTTTATTGTACACCCTGATTTAAGTCCCACTATCCCAATATTCAGTTCTCAAATACACCGAAACAGTTCATGTCAAAAATCATATATATAAATCAATCAATCAATCAATCAATCAATCATTTCATCATTTAGGTCTTCTCAAATCTAAAATCATTTTTCATACATCCATCATATTTCAATGTAACATAAAGTGTTGATCCTATTGATCCTGTTATATATCAAACGCTATATGTACAACTTTATATATATACATATGTATTTGCCTTGCATATTTTGCATTTGCTTGACACATTTTTCTCTATATACTACCTCTCTCTCTCTCTCTCTTCTACATATATATAAATAGTATCGTATTGTAACTGTAACTCGTTTCAATTTTTGCTCGTACTCGTTTGACTCTCACTTATCATTCTCTCTATTTATATATATCTCTCTGTTTGTGTCTCTATTGGCTGTTTTGTTGAACGTTACTTTATTATAGTTATCGATTTAACTGCATTGTAATCGATTTATTCAACTTGCATTTAATTCAGTTTTCATTTTTGCTAACATTCATAGAATGTTCCATTTTGCTTTATGATACGGTCAATTACTTGTATATATGTACAAATATATATTTATTTATGTATATATATATATATATATGTATATGTATTTACATCAGAGCAGTAAGTACAGTAAGTAACAGAGCGTTTGGTGTATCGATCTTAAGTGTTAGAGCCGCTAGGCAGCGGTCTAGGAATTTGTCTCTTTCATTTACCATTTTATAATAGTTATTTCTGAAGTAACCCCAAACTTTAGATTGAGTAGAGCGCTAGCTACAGCTGAGCAGTAACATTGTTCTATAACATTGACGTTATGTTAATTAACAGCTGTTGTCAGCCGTTCATAGACTACTTGCTCAGCTTTAGCCTGGCTTTGCCCTCATAAGCCACAAATAGATCGCAATCGGGATGACTACAAAATGTGACAAAAATACATATCCATAGCTAACAGCAATGTGCATAGACCCTTTACTCAAACTCTACTCCAAGCCGCGACACATAAGTTCAGTTGACTGACAAAACTCTTCCCACAACAACAACAACAACAACAACAACAACAACAACAACAACAACAACAGCAACACACACACATACAAACCAACAACACACATATAAATCGCAAACTATCCTTAATCCACAATCGCAGTACCCTTCCGGGGGCCGCCACGCTACAATCCGAAGCGCCGGTCGGGCATCGGCTGGCTGAGCGCCAATGGGGCCGCTGGCGCTGCGCTGCTGGCAGCGGCTGCCGGTGGGCTGGGTGGTGCAGGCGCTGTTCCGGGGCCAGGTGGCCAGCAGCAGCAGCAGCAGCAGCAGCAGGTGTGTGTGAATGGCGGCAATGGGTCGTTGGGCACGCTTACGCGACGTGAGTTGCAGCAGCTGCAGCCACCACACCACAATTTGACCCATCCGAACCACCAACAGCCCCACAGCCATCAGCACGTGCAGCAGCACTTGCACCACCAGCACCAGCAGCCGCATCTGCAGTTGCATGGCCCGCCCTCGCCTTGTCCATCGGAGCACATGCTGGGCGCCTACAGCTCGGCCAGCTCGAGTCTTTCCGAGGGCTCGTCGGGACATCGCTCGCACGAAGACGACATCAGCATTGTGACAGGTAATGAAATTAACTTTGATTTCGCCTTTAGCCTATGTTCGCTTTAAGTTTATTTTATAATTTCCATTGTGTCCCAAGAGCGTGCCATGAGCATATACTTTGATTTTATTATACTATATATACACTCTGTTCTTACTATGACTATGTCTATATAAGCTCAGCCAGAGGTTAAGTATAACAATTGCCATACATTAAGCATGCCTCTTAGAACTAGACCAATTAAGACTTAGTTAACTTTCTATATACCACGAGTGCATGTCTGTCAATTTATTGATTATGTCTATATATACAAACATACATAAATAATTATATATAAAATCTATCTAAATACTTAAGCACCTCTTTAAATCGATTGCAATGTCATGCTGACTCAGTTATCGATAACTTGTCATCGTGAAGCAAATCATGCGAATCAGTCATACTCTTAATGCACCTATTCGACTAACTGACTTAACGAGCCTGCACCAGATGAGCTTCGAGCCGAAGCTGCCTCTAGAGACATAACTGGAAAACAGTTTTTAAAAATAAAAACTCCATTTTCTGTCCATCAGCTTTAAGTCTTTCACTTTCTCCTCCAAGAAGCTGTTCCAGTCTCGAGTAATACTTACTAATTCTGATTTATATAATTGATCATCGTTTAAAGACCCAACAGCATTTATTTGCTGCGTTTCACTGCTTTAATGTGAGTCGCAGTTCTGTGTGTGATTCGCAATTCTTTCCACCATCCACGCATCGCTTTTCGCGCTAACTCTCGCTCTCAATGCCCAGCCACTATTCAAAGCATACGCATGCAATCGCCATCCTCGCCTCGATGTTGTTGTCTCTGTGAGCTGAGCGGCTCCAATTCCTTTGGCAAGCGAAATCATCGACTGACTTGTGCTTTCGCTTTTGCAATCCAACAGATAAGTCGCTGGGAGACACCAGCGACATCATCAGTGATTCGTCGGGCGTGGGCACTAATTCGGACTCGGCAGCCTGCTCCATTGGACATCCCAGCACCACGGTGGTGTGCATGGAGCCCTACGCGGGCAACACGGTGGGTCACATTCGCCTGCAGCCGGGTGATGTGATCGAGGTGGTTGGCAGCACCGATTGCGGCCTGCTCGAGGGCTATGTGCGTGGCACCAATCATTCGGGCTTCTTTCCCGCCGACTGCGTCCAGGAGGTGAATCTGCGCCAGAAGCACATTACCAATGTGATGACCGCCAGCACGGGCATGGCCCCACAACAACACCAACAGCAGCAGCAGCAGCAGCAGCATCAGGCATTGCAGGCCCAGCAGACACAGCCAGCCTCCTACCAGGGCTCCCCACAGCTGAGCCTGGGCGGTCACTCGGGCAGCTCCAGTACGCTGCTCCAACAGCCGCATCAGTCGCCCTCGCTCTCCATGACCAGCAACGGCTCGTGCCAGCAGCAGCCCGAGGGCATGGTCAACAATTCCATTGGACAGTACAGCAGCGCCACAGCGCCACGCATCAAGAAGAGGTAAGAACACTCATAATCCCCGCCAGATGGATTCCATATTTAATGTAACTTTTGTATTTGGCTAGCGCTTACAACGCGCCACGCTCAGTGGTGTTGCATAGGGCCAAGCGTGGCTTTGGCTTCATTTTGCGCGGTGCCAAGGCAAGTTCCCAGCTGATGCAGCTGCGTCCCTCCGAGCGCTTCCCAGCGCTCCAGTACTTGGACGACGTGGATCCCGGCGGCGTTGCCGACATGGCCGGACTACGTCCAGGCGACTTTCTGCTCACCATCAATGGGGAAGACGTGAGCGCCGCCTCGCATGAACAGGTCGTCGAGATGATACGCTCCGCAGGCGCTCTGGTCAACATGACCGTCGTCTCGCCCCAGTTTCCACTGCAGATGCAAGCCAGCGCTCAGTATTTGCCCAGCGGTGCACGCGCCGGCAGCCAGCATCTGTCCAGTGGACCCAGCACACCGCAGAGCGCGCACCGCCAATGCGCCACTTTGCCCCGAAAGATGTCTATGGGTCCGGGCGGCCATGCCAGCGGCAGTGGCTCTGCCGGTGGGGGAAGTGTTCGCATGGCTCCGATGCCACCGCGCCGCGATCCAAAGACTACCCTGAGCGTGGGTCGGGCCAGAGCCAAGTCGATGGTAGCCGGCCTGGAGAATGGAGGCGAGAAGGAGCAGGACGAGCAGGTGCCGCATGCCAAATCCAATTCGGTTGAGTCGATTGCCACGCCCACGCCCACACATCCGGGCACGCCGGTGCAGCTGCGCACGGCCAGCATTAAGGCGCGACCCACATCGAGTCGCATCACAGCTGCCGAGCTGGAAGAGCTCTTCCAGCGACAGCAGGGCGAGGGCAGCACCTCCAATGCCAGTCGTTACGCCACCATGATGACCAGCTCGCGGTTCCAGTCGGGCACAGACAGTGGTGCTGCGACGCCACCCGGCGCCAATGGCTCGCCAATGCGCACAGGTCCCCTGGTCTATGGCAGCGTGGCCGAGATGAAGCGCCAGAAGACGGCGAGAACCAAGCATGGCAGCGGCACGCTGCGTGGCAAGCCCGTCGCCACGCCCACCGTGGGCGGGGCGATTGTTGGCAGTGGACGAGATCTGAAGCGTTTCCACTCGACGCCCGATCTGCATGGACCGCAACTGCACGGCTCGGCCTCATCCATTTGGCAGGCCGCAGGCAAAGGCCATCACTCGCAGGACGATGTGGCCACGCTGCATGCCTCGCTGCAGCGCCTCAACACAACTGGTGACAAGGAGATCAAAGGCGGGGCAGGTGCAGCTGGTGCCGTGTTGCCACCACCCAATCACCCACCGCCGCCGCCCCCAGTAGGTCAGGTGGTCAAGGTGGAGACGCGCAGCAGCGTCTCGGAGTACGAGAGCACAATATCGCTGCAACAGAAGCTGAAGAAGCGTGCAGAGAATGACGCAGTCACCTCGGCGGCCATCGATGGCGTCCAGAGCAGCTTCAATCCGTCGGCCAATGCCAAGATCTACGCTTCGCCGCAGGAGCTACGCAATGTGATGGCCTGGAAGCTGCGGCAGGCGCAGGAGAAACCACAGCAGGAAACCCTGCCACAACCACAGCCACATCAGCAGCAACTACAGCAGCAGCAGCAGCAGCAGCAACAACAGCAGCAACAACAGCAACAGCAGCATATCAGTCAATATGCGGCACCCACACAGCTGCGTCCACAGGCTGCAGCTCCGGTGGGCTCTCACTATGCAGCTCCACAGCTGCAGCAACAGCCAACAGCAGCAGTCGCTGCACCACAATCGCCTCCTGCGCCGCCACCACCGCCAGCAGCAGAACAACAACAGCAGCATTCAAATGGCACTGCAAGTGCATCAGCAACTGTTGGTGGTCTAGCTCCACCCATACCCGAGCCGGACTACAGCTGCAGCGAGTCAGACGGCGAGGATGAAAACTCGATTCTGGTTGCCCGCAACACGAAGCTCAATGAGAAAATTGCACTGTTCGATGTTCCGGAGACCAGCGGCAACAGCCAGGGCAGGTAAGTGTCTCCAATTGCCTCTAACTGTACTCGCATCAGCCACCCACTAACGTGTGTTCTTCTTTAGCGGCAGCAGCTCTGCCTCTGGCTCGGGTGCCTCCATATCGCACTCGCTGTCCGTGGAGGAGATACAGCGCATACGCAGTAATCTCAAGACCTCCAAGTCCTCGCCCAATGGCTTTCTTAAAAAGGAAGACGAGCTGCAGCAGCAGCCACAGCAGCAACAGCTGCTGCCACAGCCCGCTGCTGGCGAGGATGAATGCGATAATAGCAGCTCTGGTGTGAGCAGCGACCAAGAGTTGCTCGCCACGTGCGGAGCCAAGCCAACGGATACCATCAAGAAGAAGCCAAGCGTTACTATTGTCGAGGAGCCGAAGACCATACCCGATCCACCAATGAAGCCATTGGCCAAGACGACCATCAGCATTGGGGCAGCAACAGTCAATAGCAACAGCAACAGCATTAATGCAGGCACGAATGTGGCGCATGCCGCAGCTGCCTACGAAGCAGCCACTAAGACTAGTACCCCCAATCTGAACAACAATGCCAGCAGCAATCACAACAACAACAGCAGCAGCAACAACATGACAGCGACAGCAACAACCACGCTGACTGTAAAGCAGCTGGTGCAGCAGCAACACGCGCCAGTCATACAGCAGCAGCAGCAGCAACTCAGCGCCACTAAACCAACAGTCATGGTGGCCAACAAGCCGCTAGGAGCCACCACTCAAGTCAAATCGAATCAACCCGTGCTCAGCCCTCAGGTGCTTGGTCGCATACCCAACGTGCATCACCAGCAGCAGCAGCAGCTGCAGCAACACCAATCGAATCCCAATATAAAGCTGATTGCCACACAGCAGCAGATACTGCAACAGCAGCAGCAGCAGCTGGCACACCAGCAACACTTGCAGCAGATACTCAAAGCCAAAGCAGCGGCCGCTGGTGGCGCCAGCACCGCCGCCCTGGTGGCCAAGCAGCAGCAGCAGCTGCACAAGGGCCACGACTCGGAGCTGGAGCAGCGTTCCGATCTCGATGACGATGATGGTGAATTGAGTCCCTCGCCGCCGGCCAAGGCATTCCAGCGCCACAATTCGCTGACGCGCAAACAGGCAGCGGCCATTGCCATGCAGCGGGGTGCCACACGCACCACAGCCGTCTCGTTGGTACAGCTACCACCACCTCTCGAAGCGGACAGCGATGGCGAGCCAACGCAGCAGCAACATATGCTGCAACAGCAGCAGCAACAGCAGCAGCTGGCCACGCATATTGTGGGCATGCTGCCCAGCGGCCAGTTGGTGGCAGTGCCCTCTGCTGCTGTTGCTGCTGCTACCGCTGTGTCGCAGCCGGGCAACAACAATCTGCAGCTGTGCACCGAGAACCTGGTGCTGGCACCGCCGCCCCAATTCTGTGACTGCAATGATGCCAAGCATGCGCCGCAGTATCATCCACAGCAGCAGCAGCAGCAACAACAGCTGCAACAGCAGCATCAGCAACAGCTACTGCAGCAGCAGCAGCGTCACCAGCAGCAGCTGCAATTGCTGCAGCAACAACAGCAACAGCATCAGCAGCAGCAGCAACAGCAGCAGCAGCAACAACAGCAGCAGCATCAGCGGCTGTCTGGTGGCGCTGGCGCTGGCGCAGTTGGCACCTTGGGGCGCGTGCGCATTGTTGGCGCTATGCCCAAGGCCAATCATCATAGGCTGCACTAGAGCAGCCGTCGATAACTTATCGATCAATCGATTGATCGATCAACAATTTGCCAAAAACGTTTAAACGTTAATTAGAGTTATAACAGCAAAACAGCAACAGTCATTGCCATTCACAACGAATAGCTGCACCCACACACACATACACACAACACACACATGCGCACGCTGGCAACATAAGCTGCCAGCAACATGTTTCGAATCAATTTCAATTGCAACTTGTATGCAAATGCAATCGATGACTAAATAAATTCAAAAATATGTATGTAAAAACATAAACATAAAAAAAAACAAAAACGAAAACGAAAACACAAAACAAAAAGAAAACGATAGAAGAGCAAGATATGATAATTAGTTAATTACGCCATGTGGCACGAGCACGATTTTTAATTTGTTTAATTTCGAAAAGCGAAAAACAAATGTTCTATTATTTTATTATATTTATTGCGTGTGATATAAATTTATGTACGCGGCGTAGGCGCAGCAAAGAAACTCAAACAGAAAGGATTCATACCTTTAATTGAGCATTTGAAACAAGTTTGCAATATTTAAGTAAAGTTCTTTATGCATATATGTAAATCGTAAATAAATAAGTTTATCGCAATTGAAAACAAACTGAGCCCAGTGCCGATGGCCAACTGTCGGCGGCTCAGTTTCTTTTCGAGCTGGCACAAGTGAAAGTGGGCGAAAATAGCCGCGGAAAATGCCGTGTAATCATCCACGAAAAATGAAATTCACTTTTAGCATAAGTATGAAGTGTTTAACCTAGGGGCTAGTTCATTGTTTCAAGTGCATTTCAGCATCCATCCATTCAGCAATATGCACAAAACACTCAAAGCGCTCATCGACAGTTTTAGAGAAACATTTTAGACAAACGAAAGAAGAAATAATAACAATAACAATAATATTAATAACAATACTAATTGAATTTGAATTTGCGCATTTAGCCGAATTGTTGCGTCGAGTTGGCGGCTAGCCACGGACACACAGAAAACCACTTACCTAATTAACTACTTAACAATTAAAGGCATTTTTAAAAAGCATATTTAATACAACTCTACAAACGCGTAAATTTTTGCTAGTAAAATTTACAGATTTTTACTTTTAACACCCTTTTTGTATAATTGTTTTTTAGAGAACAACTTTAACTTGCGCAAGTATTACAAAGTAAAAGGCAACATACATAAAATAACAATAATACAATTTGAATAAAATTATAATTCTTACACGAAATATCGAATATGTAATTTGAAAGAGGTTCTCGAGTATCTGAAGAGCTCCAACTTATAGACATGCGTATTAACGAGTAACAATTATTATAACTAAGGCTGATTTTATTGCATAATAGAACGTGCAACACATGTGCGACATGTAACAGGCAACATCTAAAATTGATTACTAGCAATAATAATATTTAAAAACTCAACTAATGCTAATGCGAACAGCAACAGGCAAAGGCATTTACATTATTTAAACAAATCCCGTTCAAAGTGTCGCAAATCATTTATAATTAATAATACTAAAATAATTCATAATATTATTAACGATATTAGTAAGCTTAATATTTAAACATTTAGAATTGGCAGGCCGCACCTTTGCACTAGCGTCTAAGTGTTGAAAAGTTATTAAACATAGCCCCACTCACACATATAAACAGTACACTTACACACCCACATACACACACACGTATATATATGAATATATATATTGGCAAAGCTAGCTTCTAATTAGATTTAGCACACCATTTAGTTCTCGCAATAGCTGCTAATTATTTGTAAAGTGTTTTTAGTTCAAAATCTCTACCAGCCCCCTGGTCTATCTTCTCCTCCTGTCACTTCATTTAACTCTTTCGATTTTAGCTAAGCTTGTTTTACGTTTAAGTTAACCACATGGATACCTTAGTGATCCATGTCGAGTGCTCATGCAAGTCCTACCTATGTAAAACTATATATACTATCCACACACGTACACAGACAAAACACATATATAAACATACATATATCGAGTACATGCAGAGTAAGCGTGCATAATAAAGTTGCGTACTATTCACAAATATAATGTTAAACAATTGAAGCACACATACAAAGCCACTCACACACAGAAACACACATTAAATGCATGTATTTACAATTATGGAATATATTTATTATAAGTCATAAAATATGCAATTATGTATTATGAACATGCGTATACAGAAATCAATAAATATGAATGAAAAACATATCGACGGTTTCCTTTATTCCACGAAATTAAATTCCGTAAATACCATGATGTCATATATTTCTCATTTATTGTAAATTTGCAAGGACATGCAAGAGTTGCATATCGGTTTTCCAGATGTCATAACTCAGGTAAATCCATAATTACCACATATTCCAATAATTATTATGATTTCATTCCGTAATCGTAGCTGATTCGCCCATCCGACATTCAATTTTATCGATTATTAATAAATCGAAATTTTTTTAGCTATCTCATTTTTGTATTCGGCCCGTATTTTATGGTCAGATTCGTTTAAGTTTAGTAACCAAATACAGAAACTAAATCTCACTTGGTTGCATTTTTAGTTGCCTGTTATTGGCCAAAACTCGGACGGCAGAAAGTGGTGCATTAGGATGATAAGGATAGGCTCTCATGATGCCCATCACTCCAATATTGCGGAGTCATTTAAGAATTCAGGACTTTTACGATTTAGTTCCTTAAATATAAACCCCAAAATGGGGCTGTTTTCCATCTATTTAAAGGACATTTGGATGTTTTTTTGCATATTCATAATTATGAGGCCTATTGGGTCTTCCATTCCAATGCTTAAATTGCAATTCTTGACTTATATCACCATGAACTACGTTACATAAAATAACGTTTGTTTCCACCTTAGAAGTATGCAATACTTTATATTGCATTGGTTGCATATAGGAGAATAACAGTACGAGGATATCTGACTGGGAAATAAATTCAGGAAAATAAAAGAAATCTTTTTATTTATTTACAAAAGTAATATTTTACTATTTTATTTTGTTGCTTTTGTTTTTTTTTTCTGTCTGGTTTCTTTAATATTAAAAGAAAATCTACAAATGTTTGTAGTTTTTGTTTTTGTTTTTTGTTTTGCCAACAAATCGTTTGTATACCGAGTTGCTGACACAGAAGTTTTGTTGCGCATCCTGGAGGACAACAAAACGGCAAACCGAAGACTTGTGCACCAAAGAAATTTGGCTAAATTAAAAAAAGATAATAGGAAATAAAAGTAAGGATAAAAACAAAACAAAACAAAATGCTGCAAAAGGCGCTTTTTGTTTTTGTTTTTTTTTTTTTTGTAAATTATACGCTAAAATTAATTTGCATTTGCTTTTGAAGTTTGTTTTTAGTTTTTCTTTTTGCTTTTGTTTTTTTTTGTAAATTGTTAAAGTTTTGGTTTGCCGCTGGCAGCTGTTTGCTTTTAATTGATATCGAGTTGTGGGTGTGTGTTTTACTTGCAATGCTTGCAACTCGCTGCGCCTCGATTGAATTGCAAGTTTTCAATATATATATATGTATATATATAGATCTGTACTCGTATATATATGTAATAATAATATGCCATATTGTATATAGTAATAATAATAATGTATATAGATATATACTATATAATATATATAATTTGCGTGTTGTTGTTGTTGTGGTTTTTTGTTTAAACAAGTTGGTTTCGTATCATTAATTACAAACTACAATTCGCGTATTTCTTTATTATAATAATTGTTTAATAATAATTTTTTGTTAGTTTTTTCTTTTGTTTTTGTTTGTTTGCGGCTTAAATACTTTGGGCTACGCGTTTGTTTTCTAGGCGTGTGTGTGTGTGATCAGTGTGAGTGTGTGTGTATGTGTGTGTGTGTGTTCGATCAGCATTCGATCTAGGCATTATCTATTAAACTGCTGCTCTATTATATTTCTGGAAGTGTCGCTGTCGAATTTTGTATGGCCTCTGAGCTGAGTGAGAATGGAACCGATCTGAACTATTTAACTTATGGACTTATGGAATTGCGCTAATTCAATGTTGTATAATAATTTCATAGCTGGAATCTCTTATCATTTTTGTCAAGTGGGCTGCTGTGGGCGTGGCATGGCGTCACTTGGTAACGCGGCCAAAAACGCAGTTAGCTAAAAATGTATTCGGCTGTTTCCTTAGATATCTACTTCAATAATTGTTAGCGCTCTTAATCGAATAAATATATATACACCTATCGAGATGAATATATAGTCTGCGTATGCGTATGTGTATGTGTGTGAGTGTTTGTGTGTGTGTGTGTGTGTCTGTTGTACATATATATGTATATAAATTTATTTAACAAACTACTAATTTTAAGGGCTTTATGCACGCTTTTCACTACCAAAAAACTACGCGTAGTATATTTAATTATAAGTTTTATATATATACTAAATTTATATATATTTTTAATGTATATATATCTCTATATATAATTTTTTCTTTAAATATGTTTTGTTGTTTTGCGCTTAATTCGCATTGTTGCTCCGCGTTTGCTTTCGCTTCTCGTTTGAAATTTCATATAAACTTAATTGTTACTCAAAAATAATGTACAATAATAATTAATAACTGTTTCTCCGCTCTAACTGTAAAATTTCTCATTTTTCTGTTTATATTTTTATATATGTGTGTGTGTTTGTAAGCAATTAAAATATCACCAATATTTTTGCTTTTACTCTTTTTTTGTGTTTTCTCTTTCGCAATTTTTCGTTTTCATGTAAAAAATTAAATTAAATTAAATACAATATAAAAATGTACAATTTTTTTGTGTTTTCTTTTTTTTGTTTAGTTTTTCATTTTTTTTCTGACGCGTTTGTTAAAAAGTTTTCTTTTGTTTTGTTGTTGGTTCCATTTTCGTTTTTTTAGCTTTCTTTTTTGTATTTTTTTTAGTTTTGCTTTTTGCTTAAGTAAAATGAAATGTGGGCGGGCGAACTGTGCGCTGGGCGTGGCCAAATTGCATTAAGTACAAGTGCTTAAGTTCTGCGAGAGTGTGGGTGTGGGCTGGGTGTGGGCGTGGGTATGTGTGTGCTTTACTATTTGTCTTGTTCTTTGGGAAATATATTTTAAGGCTGCTTTTGAATACTTTGTTGCTCGAATTATTATTTCAATATATATATATATATATAGAAATATATATTTGTAGCGTATGGAATGTATGCGTACTGGCCGCTGCCGCTGCCACGCCAACAGCGCTCGCCCGCCTTGGACCGTTGCTGCCCTCTGCCCCAGAAACGAGGCGGGCAGCTC